CCTCTATGCTCTTCTTCAGGCAGGAAACTGCCCTCCTGGTCACTGACACATGCTGCAGGGCTCTCTCTCTCTCTCTCTCTCTCTCTCTCTCTCTCTCTCTCTCTCTCTCTCTGTGTGTGTGTGTGTGTGTGTGTGTGTGTGCGCGCGCGCGCGCAAAGGCGCTTCTGACAGCCAAGAAACCGAAAAAATAAGAAAGTCACTCACCGAGGTCTCACTGCACTGCCGCGGTCACCGAGACAAAAAAGAAAGGGGTTGAACTTGTCCTGGACCCGACCCCCTGTGCAAGCATACTCGGCCTGGACCCCAGCTTTTGCCTTTTTGCCAAGGCTTTGAAGCCCCCAGCCATGGTCTAGAACTGAGCCTACTCGGCCTGGACCCGACCCCCTGTGCAAGCAAAGTTGGTCTCGATCACTCGAACATAAAGCATATGCGTTGTAAACGAATACAACGCACAGTATGCGTTGTATTCCTTTACAACGCATATGCTTTATGTTCGGGGGAAGACGGTAGGCTCCACACTGATGCTTCCCTGTCCCCGTTATATTAGAACGACCTCACCGCTCTGTCAAATTACTACATAATTTGCCGCCGAGTTCATGGTGTTGCTCCATTAGCTTAATAGATCTCCCAAATCCAAACTAAGGTTCACCCAGTAGTACCCAGTACTACCCACTAAGTTTTGGAGTCGAGCTGATGGTCAGCACAGCAAGCCAATAGGGTGTCCTCACCTTACACAGGCGTTGACCTCACCTTACACAGGGGTTGGCCTCACCTTGCACAGGGTAAGCTTACAAGTTTACAGGCAGTTTAAGGGCACAGAAGCCTTGTAGCAACATTCTGGACCTGATTATTAAGCCCAATATTAAGAAATCTGAAACGGATTCATCTGTCGCTTCCGCGTCTTCTTTGATCCTGTTTGCCACATTATCATAATGATATAATCCCTTGATTCATTCATCAAGCAGCAGATGGCTCTGGCCAAAAAGAGAGGAAGCCAAGTTTTCATTACCGCTTTCAAGCCCTCACTACTCCCATAGAATACTCTCCCTCTCTCTCTCTCTCTCTCTCTCTCTCTCTCTCTCTCTCTCTCTCTCTCTCTCTCTCTCTCTCTCTCTCTCTCTCTC